TGAAATGAAAGCAAGGTTTTACGGCTTCTATTTGATCGTGCTCACGATTTACGCAACTGAAGCTAGCGAGCAACCCATACATTCTGAAAATAGTAGGTTAAAATTGACCTAGTCTTTTAAATCTGGATGATGACTATAGGGTTTCATTAAGAGCTATGTGTCACCAATACTGCATATTTCCAATCTGGTCTTCCTTGAGATGAATCAAGTAAAATCATATTTTGCTTTGTGGTTGCAAGCAGAAAATGTTTAAAAATTCATTAATCAAACTAGAAGCATGTCTATGACGGAAGTGTTTTAATTGAATTAGGATAATTTCTAGATAACCTTCAAATTAATATTTCTTCGACGTTGAGGTAAAATTGACAACGATGAAAGTATGAAAAGCTTTCGCACGGTGGATACCGATGCATACCGAGTGATGTCAATATATTAATAGTAGCTCCCTTACCGAAAAATAAGCCTTGTGGCAAACATTTGCAGCAAAATAGCAGCAAACATTGCCGCAAGTTTGCAGCAAACATTTGCTGCAATCTTGCCGCAACCATTTTACCATGCAAATGAAGCTTGCGGCAAGCTTGCAGCAAACATAATTATGCAAATTAGATTTGCTGCAAACTTGCCGCAAACTTTTTAATACCAGTTATTTTATTCTACTGCGTGTTTGCAGCAAACTTGCAGGAACCACACATATACCAATGTCATTTGTGTAGACACATTCAAGTTATCTCCTTCAAATTACACATCAAAATTAGAAAAAAGAACTTCCTGCACATATACAAACAGCCATTAAAAGAATACTTGCAAACTTATCTGAGAGTTAAGGAAATACATGCAAGTATGGGGGGGTGGGGGGGGGGGCATAAAGCTAAGTAATATTGCATTACAGAATTGAAATAAACAGTATATATTTAATCAGTTACAAAATCCAAACTTATAATAGCTAGAGTATATCAAACATATAGTTGTTAACTTGATTATGTATGATGGTGACCTTAATTATTCGGTAAGGGAGCTACTATTAAATCTGCAGTTCTATGAATAATTTGTACTTACAAAATTACATTTTGAATATCCTATATTATTGAACCAAAATGCCTCTTTGATCTCTTATATATATATAACATTTCTCAAACACAATCAACATGACCTAGCCCACAATTTCAAATTGTTAGCTTCCAGGAAGTGGCAACTAGGCATGCCCAGTTAATATTGTGTAATTCTTGCAATGTTCTGGCAAACATTTAGAATGGTCAAAGATTTCTGCAATCGTACTGCAATGATGTTTCTGCAAACTTGCCGCAAGCTTGCAGCAAAAAGCTAGCTGCAAACATCTGCAAACACTATTTTCTGTTTTCCTGCAAACTTTTTGTTTGCCGCAAACCTGCAGCAAGTCTGCTGCAAATTTGCGGCAAACATTTCAGTTCTATAAGGGAGACCTAAGTGAGTTAAAATGAGATAAAAAATCAATATGGTCTAACTACGAATATATTTGCCGTCTTTACAAAACAGGTCAGTCAATTTTTAATTAATGTATTGTTTAAAGAAGACTGATCTTTTAAACTGAATCCTTGTCAAACAGAAACAACGATTTGCACTATTTGTTTTGGATGTATGACTTTAATCTCTATCGTCATCCAAAATATTCACGAACCCACTTCCCAATTAATTTATGCAGTTTTCTCGTTGTCTTAGAACTCTAGTGTCCCATATTAAGACAGGTTTAGGCCGAAACCTTTTTAATCCCATCCCATTCGTGTGCACGTCCACGTGTTATCCAGTGGCTATCGTTAGTTTTTGTCCGTCATTTGTTTTTTTAGTATAATTTTGAAGTGTAAATCAGGCTGTGGGTGTTTTTCTTAAACACATTTCATACCGGTACTCATAAAAGCTAACAATACGGAATGGTGTTTGCTCATTATTGAAGACTGCCATTGACTTGTTATGGTTCACATAGTCATTTTCCTTTGGTCTTTATGGAGAATCGTCTATTGGAAATCAGTCAATATTCCCAATATTTATTATCATTGAAGTATTAATTATAAACAACGAAGAATGTTGTCAGGACAGAAAAAAATCGTCAAACAGTAAACAACAAGAAAATAACACGTTAGCAGTTTTGTGCGTCCGAAGCGCTTTTCTGGATCAATATTCATCAGGAAAACACCTGCAGAGTTATATCACCAAAACTGACACACAAATAGCCAACTTCAACTTATTTCAACTTTGCCTAAAGGTGTTGGAACCTAAATGGTTTCTTAATTTATATACTAAGTCTGTGAAAAGTTTGTATTAAATCATGTCAGAACGGGAAAAGTAAAATAACAAAAATACCGAATTCCAAGAAAAATCCAAAACGAAAAGTACCTTATTAAATGGCAAAATCAAAAGCTCAAACACATAAAACGAATTGAAAACAACTGTCATATTGCTGATTTGGTACAGGAATTTCCTTATGTATAAGATGGTGGATTAAACCTGGTTTTATAGCTAGCCACTGACTGATGAGCCAATAATACCTCGGTCACTCACAGTCCAACAACAGCGGTATCGTTTCAGTCTTTGTAAATACAAATAACCCCTTAAATGATTTTGTGAGTCTGGATTCATTTTCATCCAGAACACTTAAACCCCAAAATGTTCATAAATATATTAATTGGCAAACTCTTTTAAAACTTTATAAAGATTTTGAATGCGCAAGATGATCTTACTAAAAAGTAAAATAACAAAAATACCGAGCTCCAAGGGAAAGTCCTTTATGAAATGGCAAAATTAAAAGCTCAAACACATCTAACGAATGGAAAACAACTGTCATATTCCTGACTTGGTACAGGCATTTCCTTATGTAGAAAATGGTGGATTAAACCTGGCTTTATAGCTATTTAAACCTCTCACTTGTATGACAGTTGCATAGAAATGCACTGTATTCTGTAACGTTGTAATACCCCCATCACACTAGGACCACGATCCCGTAGAAGCATCGTAATGGAAATCGTGGTGCAATCGGGAAGCTTTACATTTGGTAAATCACTTGCTTTCTTATCTCTTTTAACATTCAATTCTTAATTTCTTAGTAAAAAAGAATTACAACACATAATCAATTGATACAAATAAAAAAATAAAAAATTGTTTTAGGTGGGTTCACTTACAATTAATCTTTCCATACTATTTGATCATGTAGGACAAATGACTGAATTGACCAGCAGATTTTGGAGTTATCTCCCTTTTTTTAACTTTCAAAGTGTATCTCATTATATTAATATCAACCACTATCTAGTTTGATGTAGAAATTAACAAACAAACACAAACATTGTATGTGTATGAACTTTCGAATTTTAGTATATACCAGCACAATATGCCACAACAGAAAAATATGAAATCGTAAAATGTATATAACAGTTAAAATATACATTCAGATCACATATGAAAGTTTGTATTAAACATTTTTGTTTTTATTAATTACCATATTCATGTTACATTTAAAAATTGATTGATTCATCAATGTTATCAACGTTTTACTATTTGTACCTTTGAAAGTTATTCTAATTGATATGAACTAAAATCTAAATTGTTATATCTAAGGTTACATTAGCACTTGAATATAATAATGATTGAAGTTCAATTACATTATTTGCATACGAAATGTTTTGTCTAATTCAACTCGATTTTCACACATCGGTAATAGGTCCTCAATAAATCAAATTCTGTTATTCTATATCGTGATTTATATTCTGTAGTTTATGGTTTGGTCATTTTCTTTTTTTTTGCCAAGGCATTGTCAGTTTGATATTCGATAGATAAGTTTGAATATCTCTTTGATATCTTTCGCCTCTTTTTTTAAAACGGAATAAATTGATTGATTTTAGGTTGAATGCTCGTGTTGATACTTTTAAGGGCTTATAATGTATGCATGACATATACATACATGGATGTTGACATATTTTTGTTCAAATACAATGCAAATCATGTCTGTAGATTGTAAGCTTTAAAAAAGTTAATAATCTAATTTTTACAGCTGTTTTTGGCAAAACCTTTCGTAATTTTTAGTTCTCAATACTCTTCAACTTTTTTCGACCTGTTAACTTTCATGATTCGAACGCTTTGGTGAGTCTTTTTTCAGACGAAACGCACGTCTGGCGTACAAAATTATAAGCCTAGTATCGTTGATTATTTCATTGTACAAAGATTATAATTAGATGTTTGCTTAGAATTTCTGTAAATTTAAGCTTTTACAAATTTGTGACATATAAATCTTTACAAAGTTGAAATTGTCATTATTGTTTGTATAACAAATGAATAACATTGAATAAACACTATATACAAATCAGTTCCTTGATCATCTTTTAATTCATGCTTAACCATTATGCTTTATGTTATCATTTGTTCATGGAATCTATATCCTTTTGTATTCAAACCTTTGTTTCTAGGTACATTATAAGTGTTAAAGTTCTATTATAGGTCTGTCACTTTTGAAACAAGTTATATGTACAGTTGCATATGATTTCTATGATATTTTGATACACACATTTATTGATACACTGCGTCGTCCTTTCATACGGGTACCACATCACTACTATTTCATTTCTGTAAGAGTGATATGACTGCTTAGATCTTTAGGTCAGAAAGAATATCAAAGTTAATCATTTCTTAAGTTTAAAAAAAAATAAATGGATGAAACATCGTCTTAAGCACATAAATTGAAAGCTTCTTCCTTTTCCTACACCATTCTTAGAACATCTTTGCCTATCATCATGCATATCGTAACATGCGATAAACAAAGGTTATGTTTAATTATCTGCACATTTTAAAAGTCTGCCGTATTGCATAGTAAAACGTTTACTTTGTATATATGATTGTTTATACAGACAATACACAATGTAGATATTTCATCATCTCTATGCTTATAACATGCCCAGTAAAATCTTTACTATCTCTGTATGATTATTCCGATAGGCAATTGATAAAGGAGACCATCCAACATCTTTACCGTTATTTATGTTTCATTTGTTTTCCAGTAAAAACTTTGCTAGTTCTACATGATTATTCTGACAAGCAATACACAAGGGAGAAGCTCCTTTATCCAAACACTTATTAATATCTGCTTTGTTATCTAGTAAAAACTTTACTAAATTTATATAATTATTCTGACACGCAATAAACAAAGGCGATGCACCGTCCCTCATACACATATTGATGTCTACATTGTTGTCCAGTAAAAGTTTTACTACCTCTATACGATTCATCTCACATGCAATAGACAAAGGAGATGCTCCATTATCTGTACACTTATTCATATCTGCCTGGTTGACAATTAAAAACTTAACCATCACTATATCCTGATTTTGACAAGCCATAAACAAAAGAGAGATCCCATTGTCTAAACACGTATTAATGTCGGCCTTGTTTTCCAATAGTAACTTTACCACTTCTTTATGATTCTGGTAGTAAGCTATTAATAAAGGTGATGCTCCAGTATCTCTACGCATATTAATATCTGCCTTGTTTTCCAGTAATACCTTCACTACATCTACATTATTATTCTGACAAGCAATATACAAAGGAGACGTTCCATCATCTTTTCGCTTATTAATGTCTGCATTGTTTTCACATAATATCTTTACTATTTCTAAGTGATTGTTCAGACAAGCTCTAAACAATGGAGATTCGCCATTATAAATACACTTATTGATATCGGCATTGTTGTCCAATAAAATCTTTACTAGCTCTAAATGATTCTTCTCACAAGCAATAAAAAAGGGCGATATGTCATCATCTTTGCATTTATTAATGTCTGCCTTGTTTTGCAGTAGTATCATAGCTGTCTCTATATGATTGTTCATACTAGCAACAAATAATGGAGATGATCCATCCATTCGACAATTATTAATGTCAGCTTGATTATCGAGCAAAACCTTTACTACCTCAATATGGTTTTCCTGACTTGCATAACACAAAGGAGATGTGCCGTCATCAGCACACTTATTAATATCTGCCCTGAGTTCAAGTAAGACTTTTACAATCTCTATGTTATTATTTTGACAGGCAAGGAATAAAGGAGATACTCCATTATTTCGCGATATATTGACATTTGCCTTGTTTTCTAGCAAAACCTTAACTACCTCCGTATGTCTGTCCTGACAAGCAATAAACAAAGGAGAAGCTCCATTATTCAAACACATATTAATATCTGCATTATTGTCAAGTAGAACCTTTACTATTTCTATATTATTATTCTGACAAGCAATATACAAAGGAGATACTCCGCCACTCATACACTTATTAATATCTGCTTTGTTATCTAGTAAGACGTTTACTATATCTATATAATTACTCTGACAAGCAATAAACAAAGGCGATGCACCGTCTGCGATGCAAATATTGACGTCCGCCTTGTTTTCAAGTAAAACATTTACTACCTCTATACGATTTATCTGACATGCAATAGACAGCGGAAAAGCTCCATTATTTGTACACTTGTTAATGTCAGCATGGTTGTCCAGTAAAATCTTTACAATATCTATTTTATAATTCTGACAGGCGATATGTAAGGGAGATGTTCCCTTATCCAAACACTGATTGGTGTCCGCCTGATTTTCAAGTAAGAACTTTACCATCTCTATATCCTGATTTTGACAAGCTATAAACAAAAGAGATATCCCATTATCTGAACACGTTTTAATGTCGGCCTTGTTTTCTAGTAAAACCTTTACCACTTCTTTATGATGCTCGTGGTAAGCAATTAACAAAGGAGATGATCAATCCGTTCGCAAATTAATATCTGCCTTGTTGTCCAGTAAAACTTTTACTATCTCTATATGATTATCCTGACAAGCAATGTACATAGGAGACGCTCCATTATCTTTTCGCTTATTAATGTCTGCATTGTTTTTCAATAATATCTTTACTATTTCTAAGTGATTTTTCAGACAAGCCCTAAACAATGGAGATTCGCCATTATAAATACACTTATTGATATCTGCATTGTTTTCCAACAAAACAATTACCATCTCTATGTCATTCTTCTCACAAGCGAAATACAAAGGCGATACACCATCAGATCTGCACTTATTAACGTCTGCCTGGTTATCAATCAATTCATTTAGTACCTCTTTGTGACCTTCTTGTACTGACACGTATAAAGGACATATACCAAAACAGTTACACTGGTTTACATCAACAGCATGACGAATACACCACTGAATGAAATGAGTATCGTTATAGTAACAACACTGTACTAGTACAGTATCTTCGTTTACTATATCAAGCTTCTGTGCTAGTTCGTTCTGGAATAGAGTATCACAGTTTTCCAAATGACGCAATAATCTGTCTCTAAACGTTGGTATCTTCATATTAATGTAATTAAACACTTGCTGTACTTTACCTTTAACCCAGTCATCTATCATTCTCATTATGTACATCTGATGGTTTTGAGGTGGTACAATGGTGATAAACTGATCAGAACTATCTTTTTTTTCTAATAGAAATCTTTGCCCAATTACCTCACTGTCTGCATTTCTGATCAAACACTGGATCATTTTTTTTCCGAAATAGGCAAAAAAAAGTCAAATATTTTATCATGCTTTGTTTTGTATACCTCTTGCTCTTTCTTTATAAAAGTATGTTCAAGTGATTTCAGTTCATCAAGTAGGACAAGTCGTGATGTACCTCTCACCAATCTACATTCCTCACACGTGTTATCTATGATCGTTCTTATAATTGAACTCACCTCCCCTGTCAACCATTCTTCTTTCAGTTGGTTGTTAAACATGACCAACAAAGCCAAAGCACAATATTTCTTAAATTGTCGCTTTTTATACAAGTTTTCAACTTCTGCATCATACACTGAAAATGGATTCTTGAAGAAATCTATAATCTCATGTTCAGGATTGTCACGATACAATGTACAGTTAAGTGGAAAACAATCATATAAATCACAATACAGAAAAATATCTGAAGCTTTTGTTTTACAGATATGATTCTGCTATTTTCTGTTTTTCTCTCTGTGATAAACATAAATCGTTTGATAAAAGGTTACACACACATTTGCTAAAAATTGATAATGATTCAAATCTTTCGTCTTTGTAGACTTGTAATCGACATGCAACAATTATTTTTGTGAGTTTATTTTGAATCAGTTCTTTGATACGACCTAGGACGGGTTCTAAATTATTAAAATAACATTTGTTTATAGAATAAGTTCCACAAAAATCATCAATAACAAACAATGTTTTTTTATTTGGATTGTAAAACTTAACAATATCATGTGGACTTGTCACCAGTAATATATCGTACCCTTTCTGTGCCATTATTAATGATACATGTCGTAAAGTTATTGTTTTCCCAACACCCGAGCTGGAAGTAATAGTAACACAGCTGTTTTCTTCTACACATTCTAGCACCCGTTTGGCAGCTCTGGTCTCAACAAAATTAGCATCATTCAACTGCCAATCTTCCAAAATCTGCATAATTTGTACTGAAAATGAAAATAAAATTTAATGCTTATGATCGTTTTAAAATTATGAGTAATTAGCATATAACCTGTTTATATTGTTCCCTTAAAAGACAACGTTTCATAACTGTCCGACAAAAATTATGAGAAAAAAGTAAAATAACAAAAATACCGAGCTCAAAAGAAAATTCAAAATGGAAAGTTCCATATCAAGCGGCAAAATCAAAAGCTCAAACACATAATACGAATTGAAAACAACTGTCAAATTCCTGACTTGGTACAGTTATTTCCTTATGTAGAAAATTTTGAATTAAACCTGGTTTTATAGGTAGCAAAACATCTTACTTGTATGACATACTTTCTATGAGGGCCTGTCTTACTTTCATAACATATCTACAGAAGTGTCCACGTTTTGGTATGGGAATTCTCAATAAATCAAATCAATAAATAAATGTTCAAATAACATATGAAATATGTTATTAAATTCATCGGTATTTGTAAGAGGTAAATAAATATTTGACATCATCAGATCTTCGAAAGGAAGGACCAGTAAGTTTATCACAATATGTATCCATGGCATTGAATGATGCAGAACTTTTCATAACATAGATATACAGTTTTCACATTTATAGTTCTTAAATAATATAAAGCTAATTTTAAGGAGTAGCGAAATATACCAAATATATTCAAGCTCATAAGTCGAAGATAAACTGACAGAGCCATGGCAAAAACCAACAAAAATATAAGAAAAACAACAGTCTACCTCACCTAACAAAATCCATAGACGGAGCAACACGAATCTTACCAAAACCAGTATAAATCCTGGGTGTTCCAGAGGGATACATATATTCTGTTTCACACGAGCACTCATCATTTTGCTCATTTAAATACAACTTTGGTGTAAGTCTAATTCAGAGATTTCACGTCCAAGGAAAAAAGTTCATCTCCTTAATTCTATATTAAACATTAAAAATGATTGATATTGGGAATTATTTATAAAAAGACTAACTCAAAAGTCAGCCGAGGAAAATAATCCCATCCAGCGTTTGAGGAAAACAAATTTTTTTACACATTTTCTTCAAAATAGTGTTTCCGTTACACACAATATAAGCAGTTTGAACTTTGAAAACAAAAGTGCAACAAACATTGACAAGCATCCAAAGCTTTGATACATATAGCAGAACTGTGAGGTTTAGCTGGATATAAAACTAGATTTAACAGATCGAGAAATGTCGGTTCCAGGTCAGGAATATGACAATTGTTTCCGACTTATCTAATTTGATAATATTTATTGTCGAACGTTTGGTTTTGCAAGGGTTCGTTTTAAGCTCATCTGGCCCAAAAGAGCCAAGTGATATTTTCTCATCAATTGGCGTCCGTCGTCCGTCGTTCGTCGTCGTCGTCTTCCGTCGTTGTTCGTTAACTTTAACAAAAATCTTCTTCTCTGAAACTGCTTGGCCAAATAAAACCAAACTTGGCCTAAATCATCCTTAGGGTATTTAGTTTTAAAAATGTATCCGATGACCCCGCCTATCAATCAAGATGGCCGCCATGGCTAAAAATAGAACATGGTGGTAAAATGCAGTTTTGGCTTATATCTTTGAAACTAAAGCATTTAGAGCAAATCTGACCGGGTAAAAATGTTAATCAGGTCAAGATCTATCTGCCCTGAAATTTTCAGACGCATCAGACTTGGTTATTTTAAGGAAATTTTGCAGTTTTTGGTTATTATCTTGAATATTACAATAGATAGAGATAAACTGTAAACAGCAAAATTGTTCAGCAAAGTTAGATCTACAAAAAATTCAACATGACCAAAATTTTCAATTGACCCCATAAAGAGTTATTGTCCTTTAAAGTAATTTTTTTACAATTGTTCGTACATTTTTGCAACCTTTAAAAAAATCTGCTTTTCTGAAACTACTGGACCAAATTAAACCAAACTTGGCCTAAATCATCATTAGGTATCTAGTTCAAAAAATGTATCGATGACCCCGCCCATTAACCAAGATGGCCGCCATGGCTTAAAATAAAACAAATGGGTAAAATGCAGTTTTTGACTTATATCTCTGAAACTAAAGCCTTTAGAGCAAATATGTGATGGGGTAAAATTGTCCATCATGTCAATATCTACTGGCCTTGAAATTTTCCGGTGCATCAATCAACCTCCTGTTGGGTTGCTGCCCCTGAAGGCTCGTTTATTATATTGAAATTAAATAACTCGAGTTGATATCAAGCAATATCCCATTCTCACTCGGTATGAAACCTATAATTATCCTTACCTCTTATATTCCAGGGCACTGTTGATGTGTCTAAACATTTTGTTTTTAGCTCAGTACATTCCCTAAGCATGTCCTTCCTCCTAGTCGTCCTACAGCCTGTAAATATATTTAACTGACCATAAAATATTTTAATTTGCATAAAATATTATGGTTGCAAGTCAATTACAACTAGGAGCATTTCTGTGTGCTTGCCAATTGAAAATTAGAGGTTTCCATGATTTTGTATTTCTAATTCGGTTCTACATATTCATTTAAACAAATATTGAACCTTTGTATTATATTTTTGTCAAAGGTTCCTTTTTTATATTAATGATGGCAGCTATCTTTGATGTCCGTTTTTTGTCAAAACCGATTATCCTGAAAAGGCATCAATAATCCTTAACAATCCTTAGTATTAGAACAATTGATCAATAAATTGAAAATCAACAAATTTGAAAGTATTATTTAATTCAAAGAAATGGTTGAACCGTTTTGACATCAGTTGCCGCCATGCAAAACAACCATTAAAAGGATAATTAATGAATCTTTTGTACATGTTGTGATATGGATTTATTAACGACCCACTGATTTTTTTCTCTGTTTTTTCTGTATTTTTTGTCGGTTAGTGTCGGCTATAACCAGCGATATATTCTTAAATTAATGTTGTTATCAACCTTGCATGTCTGTGGCGACGTTACCGATTTCAACTTAGCAAATATCGTCATACGTGATAAATGAGTAAATCAGGGATATTGTTGTGACAAATAACGTGATTTGGGTAACTTAATTCTTTCATAATTGAAAATACATGTAATATTCGAATAGAAGTTTGGCTATACCAATATAAACTTGTCAATACCTATATTTTGATCGTGTCTTTCTAATATAACATAAGGGGATGTGGTATGATTTGCAATGAGACCACTATCCACAAAAAGATCAAACAAAGTCGATGAAAGCAATAATCCGTACGGCCTTCAATAATATGAAAACCCCATACCATATAGTCGGCTATACAAGTTCCAATATGAAAAATATGAAACAATTCAATTGAGAAAAGTAACGGCCTAATTTATGCCAAAACCATTTACGAAAAACTAAGACTATTTATGGCGTCTATAAAGTTAATCAGTTGGATGTGTACTGATTTCAGTCTTGGTTAATATGATTTATCAATTAGTAGTAATGGGTAGTTGTTTTTTCACTTGCTTCGTTGATTGATAGCGTTTGATTTAGTCAGTTTTATGGACTCCACTTTTTTTTACATTTGCCTTAGAATTTAGTTTATTTTTAATTACCTTTCTAAGCCTACCATCTTTGACCTTCGGAGAGGCGGTTGAAATCAAAACTTTACGACAAAAGAGATGATTTCAGCTTCCCAATTGTGAACTTTCCATTTCTATGTAACAACATTCCAGCAGCGCCTGCCTACGAAGTATATATCTCCCAATTGATACGATATTCCCGGGCTGGTATTAACTATCATGATTTCCTTGATAGAGGGTTGCTGCTCACAAGGAAGCTATTAAACCAAGAGTTTAAATGGTGAAGTTGAAATCATCCCTTCGTAAATTTTACGGACGGATTCACGAGTTGGTTGACCGTTATGAAATATCCGTTTCACAGATGATAGCAGATATGTTCCTAATGTCGTAACTACAATCCCGTCCCGGCAAGAATGTGATCTATCGAATTAGACTTGTTATCGTGTTTGTACTAAGATGAGCAACACGACGGGTACCACATGTGGAGTAGAATCTACTTGCCTTTCCGGAGCACATGAGATCACCCCCAGTTTTTGGTGGAGTTCGTGTTGCTAAGTCGTTAGTTTTTCTATGTTGTGTTTAGTGTACTATTGATTGTCTGTTTGTAGCCATAGTGTTGCCAATTTATTTCCGATTTATGAGTTTGAATGTCCATCTGGTATCTTCAGCCCCTCTTTGATGAGTTCTAACTGACCTTACTCTTAGATCGGTGTCGTTTGTCTTCGTGTTAGTTGTTTTTGTGCTTCCTGCGAAAAACTGACGTGTCCAGCACTTTCCAACTGATTTTTCCAGTTTTATTTTACGTTGTACTCTACAAGGTTAGGGGAGGTTGAGCGCTACCCAGTATTTAAAAAAATGCCACATTCTGTATATGCATGTCTCTCGTTGGAAATCTATGGTTAAGTAAATGGCGTCATACCTATTTTTCGTTAATTATTTTTAATTGTCGTACATGTCGGGATCACTTTGGCACACATACTTTATATCTATGTTGATCTCACTCCCCCTTCTAATTATAAAACATACCTTTATTCATAACTCAGAGTGTCTTGATTTGGGTTATAAACCAATACATATGTTACTAAAATACCCTGCACTTTCATAAAGATTTATTCTCAACTAAAATATGAATGTAATATTAAAGATTTCGTTGTTTGCAAACAACCGTATGAAAACATTTGACCCAACTTAATGTGAAAAAAGGTTCAGTTCCTAGTCCACAAAAATGCATCCCTTTCAAAATTCAGGCATCACTCCATGCTGTTGTGAGATTTATTATCTTTATTTTTGATTAAGTTATACATACCCTACTTATATCATTCCATGCCTCTGTGAAATATGCACTTTCTATCTTGCCGTTCCCATTTAGAATAACGTGCGATATGTGGTTCCTGTAATTTCTTATCCTTGCCAAATCAGCCGATTGTGATTCGTCAGTTACCGATGGAACAATATTATAATGAGATAACTGTGTAAGATTTGTAAGCAATGTAATCATTAAAGTAATGTCAAACTTTTGTGAATCTGATCTTCCTGTAAATAAAATAGATAAATCATATATTACAAGTTGGCAAGAAAATTATTAAAGTCATGATCAGTTGTAACATAAAATACTTCCTGATTTACTTACGAGGCAGCCCCGAGGTATCATCAGCTCATTGCAGCGCTTTGGTAAGGAAATGACACCCTGTTATCAAATTCTTTATTGAGATTTTTTAAAAATATTTGCAGAAAGTAAGGTTCAATCTTCTTTTGACAAGGTTGACTTAAGATGGAATTTGCTATATTTTTTGGTCTCTCACGGTCCAATTACTTATGTGGTGTTTGTAAATTTATCATCTCTGTTTTTCTTTTCATAAGTGTTGTATGTTTCTGTTGAATATAAATCATGGAAACATTTTTAAACACACTAAAATTATTAAGTTTTATTCTAGTTCATAGAAACATATATGCATTCATAGTTTTCAATTCTAAATGGACTTTTCATCACAAAATCATTTCTTATCTTTGTGGTGTTAATACATAGTTTTACCATGAAAAGGTAATCATTTACTTCCCTTTTTACACTATTTGTTTACAAATGTCCCGCGGAAATGTGTTGAATACTCCTGCAGTATTCTTAATCTTTTGTCCCTTAGCGTTCATTAGACAAAAAAAAAAAAAAAACAATCCATTAGTATTCATATTTTTCACGAATACTAGTATGTTCTATTCAGATTTTAAACGTGTTCAAGTACAAGTTTTGTCTTGCAGGTTTCTTTCATGATGTTAATTATGACTATTTGGATCATTAAATTTTGTAAAGTTCCTTGTAATGTTTTTTATGTGATAAGGTAATTGTTGTTTTTCTCTGTTAAACACTTTAAGATGTTCCGCTCAACCTACCATTACTTGGAAACAGAAGATTCCATTGTGACTGGTTAATGATGCTCTTCTGTCGTAGGTGTTGCAATTTGTCGTGTGAATTCTTGGTAGAAACATCTAGGCACGATGGATCAAATTCACGGTCAAATACAGCTCGTACTGCACGAGGGGAAATCTTAGACAGCAATAAATACAGCCGGACATTGTTTTCTTCCTCCTTTGATATGGTTGTCATCGTGCTCTCATTCACTTTCAGACTGGGTTTTCACGTTTTTCATCACATAAGTAATACATGTGGCAATGTTTCTGAAATATAGTTTCATATTATACTTTTATGGCTATTTTCCTTGTTACGATTATTTGATATGCAAATTGATGTTTATAAAAAATCGCAAGGCCTGCATATATTTTAATGAAACGTTTACAGATACATGATCCATGTTTATATATACAGTACGCCAAAAGTTAAGCACCACCTATTTTTATTGCATCGAATTTTTTTTCATTTAAAAAAATCAGTTATTCCTCGAAAAAGAGATAACATTCATGTAGCAATTTTGCTAACATATACCATAAACAAACCATAAACTCAAGTTTGGTCACTTATGCAGGTTCTATGCATTTAAATTTTGCATTCATAGAAATAGTGCAAATTACACAAATCAGAAAAGGAATTTAAGTTTCACTGTGATTTTATTTTTTACAACAATTAATCACCCAATATTATTAAAATTCTCTACAAATAATCGTTGGTATGTTCGCCAAATTTTATGTCAATATTTGAGTCAATAGGATGTGAAACCACCTCTCTTACGGTACAGTTCCATAACACGGCGACTCGTACTCTGTACAAACCTTCTGAACTTTAGTTGAGGAAATTTATTCCATTCATCATTAATTGCCACTCTTAAATCGCCAAGATTTTGCAAAAGTGGATCTCTGCGATTGAGATTTCTGCCAAGACATCCCAGACATGTTCGATAGGGTTCATTTCTGGAGACATGGAAGGCCAAAAGATAGTGTCAATGGCTTCTTGCTCTTTGTACTCGGTTACAATCCTTGCCCTGTGTGGTCTAGCGTTGTCGTCCATGTACAAGGGTCTTGACGCAAGTGGGTGATTATCAAAATGAGAGACTACAATGTTTTTAAGCACCAAATCCCTGTATGTCTGTATGTTCATGTTACCGTGCAGAATATGCACATCCAGCTTACAACGGTATGAGAAGCAAATCCATACTGTAACACCACCAGCACCGAATGCAGTCGTTGGGCAAATGTTGTTTTGGTCATAGGCAGTTTTATTTTTCCGCCAACCTCGTATTCTGGCTTCTACTGGTCGTAAAAGAAACCGACTCTCATCTGACCAATGCATTTTTTGCCAGCTTCTCATGTTCCGTTGTCGATGGTCATTAGCACATTGGAACCTGATTAAACGGTGCCTGGCTGTTAGGGCAGGTCTCTTGACAACACGACGTGCTCTTAGATTGCCTCTATGAAGTCGACGGACCCATGTTCGAACACTAACACGACCACCTGGAGGCCAGTGGTGTCTAAGCTGCGGAGCAGGAGTAAATGGATTGGATTTAGCACGACGAATAAGCTGTCTGTCATCACGACGGGTAGTTAAACGGGGTCTTATGGATTTTGGGCTATCATTTACAGTTCCTGTGTCAACATGACGTTGTAAAAGTCTGGCAATGACGGCGTGATTAACATTGAAATGGTTACCTATGCTGCTAGTGCTCCTACCGGCATTTGACATGCCAATCGCTTGCAAACGATCAGCCACAGATGACTTACGCCTTGCCATATTACACAATGACTAGATGAAGGTCAAATTTTACCACCTGTACGCGGGACAGTAGGAAGATGATTTAAAGGTATCGAAACAGTGTATTTGTAAAAGTGCAGATGGCCTTTAATAAAAAGTTGCTTGACGGGTTTATTGAAGTTCAATCTTTTTGGTCGTAATGAATTGTCTTAGTGTATGTTAAAGGCGATTCATAACACCAAACATAAATAATTTTATTCAGGTGGTGCTTAACTTTTTGCGGACTGTATATATACATAGGTTGGTGCGTTTATATGAATATTATAAAGGAAAGTAATGTGGTATTATTGCCGATAAGACAACTATCCACCGGAGTTTCCATGGCGTGGGTATTAGCATTTAAAGGTGAACATACGTCCTTCGACAACGTGAAAACCCATACCATATAGAAAGGTCTAGCTCCCGCCACATGAAAATTTTGTAGAATAAAATTCAAATGAGAAAAAAATAATGACTTAATTTATAATCATACAATTTACGAAAAACATAGATGACAGATATATAACCATTGACTACTACTGAATTACAGATTCCTGAATTTGGACAGACATATTAAGAATGTGGAATGCCGGGTCAAACATGTTTGTAAGTTCATACCTCCGACTAACCTGGGATAATGATGTGATAACACAAGATAAGATTAAACTTTAAAAAAACGTTAACAAAAGGCTTAACTCTATAGATGGCTACAAAGCACAAGCACAGCTTACAAAAAAACCAACAAAAACACAAAACACCGATGATGTTGTGCAACACCAACATATAAGTAAATAGTATCGACAGGGTGTAGGATCATGATAGCTTACAACTGTAAGTATTTAGCAATACACATTTAGTTACGTTTTATTTTTTTGTGTGAAAGGTTTTACTACGGGGTTTATATCATTTGAAAACCTTTAAGAATATGTTTGTTCAAAAAGTCAATGAGTTTACATGTATCGTATCTAAATTCACGGGCTCTACAAACAACATCGTGGTAAAAGCTAGAAGATGATATTACGTTTTTTATAAACCAAACTGCCGAACCAAATCGTTGAATCTATGAACGAATTTGGTAAACGTTTTAGTTAGTTTGTGATAACGAAATCTCTGACTTAATAATTTACAAGTAATGCGTATTTTACGTTTAATTAAATCTTAATCGCGACGACAGACACGAGAAGGTGCACATGTTGTAAAATAAAATACTTTAGATAGATAAGAGACCAAAGGAACATCTTCGTCCGAAAAGGAAAAAAATACAAACTTGAACGAAAAAAAAGTCTCTTTTGTCGAAAATTGTTGTTTATAGTTTCCCGTGTGAAACTGAAATCTAAAAATCCATAAAATGACAATTATTACTGTCTGTATAAGAACTACTAATAACAAGTTCGCTAGGGTTAATTTCCGTAGTAAAATTTAAGATAAAAGTTATTTAAAGCAAAAATATCACCAAGTTAACGGTGAGTGTTGTAAAATGAATGGAATAAATGTAATTTAGACGGTTCTTTACTGAGTCTGGCCATAAACAATGATTCATTACAAAACTAGGAATAATTCTGCTACCAAAGGGGCACAATCGGTTATCTTTTCACATTGAGTTTATCTTTCATATTCCTCTTTTTCATAACAGAATAAAGGTTGCATTTCTGTAAATATAGACAATGCAATTTCCCATAGGAACTCCCTTTGCGGCTATAACTGTGCCACTTTTACTATTAAGTTTCGTAAAAAATTATATCCTAGAATGGAAATTTGTGCACTACTAAAATTTTCAAAGGTCAAAACATAGTGATGTGCGGCATATTTCGAACATTTATAGGCCCCGAACTTGTGAGAGTTACAACTTATAATAACTAAAATTCTGTACTACCCCTACCCCCAATTGGGGCCTACTTCAGAATTCAATTTTCACCGCAACAATATGTCTCTATACTGGTAACATTTCAGATTTATGTCTCTATGAGATGAAACATAGAGATTATATCCGGGAACCAGTACGTAAACAAAACAAGATATCTATGAATATCATATATCTCCCCAAAACAGGCGTGGTTTGAGAAACAGCTGTATTTACAAATTGCAACCTATAGTATCTATAAAATGCAGTAATTATATTTGCAAACAGATATTTAAAAGGACCATTTCATCAAATAAGAAAACTTCTGTTTTATAACATTTTGTAAAAGTGTAGTACAGAGTCGAAAATGTAAACCATATTTTAAAGACTATCAAAAAAACTTATATTCTATTCACACATCTAAAGAGTTAAAACACTTAAAAAATTATTGATTCCAATTTTTTTATTACATAGTGCCACTTATAATTTCTTATTCGTATACAAAAAACAGTAGAAATCCGATTTTTTTATACGTCGGTTACAGCAAACGTCACTATAGAAAATAATGGTCCTTTAGCATGATACTGTGAGACATCGAAGTCTAGATATGATCCCTATGATCATTTAATTACAGGGGAGCTCAACATCATTCAAGATCGAGAGGTTATGAACTGTCTGAAAAAAGGACCGAAATAACGTCCACCGTCGAATATGAATTAGGAAGGGTGTCGTCAACTTAATGAAGATGCGTTTTCATCATATTGTAAAACAGATGTAAACGAGAGAAATCTGACAAACAGTCACTTGGTTCCTATTTGAACAAATGTCTGAATATTGTTAATACTTGCATATCACATTTCGAAAATAATTAAGAAATAAATAAAAGAATAAGTAATACTCCCATTTTTATGATTAAAAACGAATTAAAGTACTAGAAAAGCGTTTTGTGTTCATACAGGCCGACGAAGCAGTCAACAATGTGGTGGTGGTATGACGTATATAGTTCACGGTAATCCTTTAGCATGAAATTGTACATTCATCTACATACTAGTCCGTACGATCCACAGAGAGTCATGTAGTAAATAATCATGTCACTTTCTCAGCTCAGCTTAAAGACTCCTTTGACAATTTGTAGGTCCCACCATGGATTGATTACATAACCTACACAAACAACCATAAAGTATCGTTTCGTTTCGGCCTCTAGTAAGTACTCTATTACTAATCTCTTAGTGCTTTAAACAAGTTCCTTAACTACAATCAAAGAATTAATCATTACTTTTTGCAATATAACATATTGAAATAATAAAAGTAACCATTTTTGGATTATAAACAATTCTTTGGATGTTGTAGACACATTACGTGCTGTGTGTGGTTCTTTTGATTCGGTTGACAGTTTTAACTTTTCCACTCTTCATAATACACCTCCACAAATATTATCAAACAAAAGTTGTCCTATTCAATTAAATGATCGTTTGATAAATCTGATTGCAAATTTATTTGCTGCAACTCATATCAATAAAATTGAGAATGGAAATGGGGAATATGTCAAAGAGACAACAACCCGACCAAATAGCTGACAACAGCCGAAGGCCATCAATGGGTCTTCAACGCAGCGAGAAAATCCCGCACCCGGAGGTGTTCCTCAGCTGGCCCCTAAATAAAATTGTGTACTAGTTCAGTTAAAATGGACGTCAAAACCTTTTTCTCAAATGAGAAAGGTAAATATACTTACTGGAGGTGTGATTAAAGCCATAAATTTTCTCCTTGAATACATTAATGTACGTTTCGGATATAAAGTTTATCGACAACTTGTAGGTATTCCTATGGGCACCGACTGTGTCGCTTTATTTACAGACTTGTTTCTGTACTGTTAAGAATAACAGTTTATGGCAAAATTCAGTAAAGACCTGTTTTAGTTCCATACATTTGATAAATTTACCAAAACTAACCGTTATCTTAATGATTTTTTTTTAATTTAAATAATCAAGTTTCTCTTAATTTACTGCCGAAATTTACCCATAGGAACTTACCTTAAATAAATCAAATGTCAACAGCAATAAGTGTCCTTTCAAAGATTTAGACATTTTATACCAGAAACTCTACACCAAAATTTTAGACTAAAGGAATGATTTTCCCCTATTGTATTTTTTCCTTATCGGACGGTGATTTACCTTGACGCCGTCTTATTGTGTTTATATATATTCCAACTCGTTCGCTTTGCCCGTGTCTGTAGTGACGTTGTGGATTTCAATGAACGTAATCTAAGTATTATTGGTTAATTGTCAAGTCAGGGATTTCAATACCACAAATTACATAAAACCTTTACTAAATTTTTCCATAGAAACAAAGATTTGGTTTGCAAGTTTGGCTGTACCTATGAAAAACTTATTTCAGATTGATTACAACATCTAAAATGTTATGCTGATGTTGTTTACTGAGCCCAGAAATTTATATACGATCCGGGTAAACTTTTCAGTCCTTTCAATAAACTTATTCTAAAAAGGTACCAGTTCAACACTGTAATTAGATCTTTAAATATTTTTTTTTTTTGGTATCAATATTGATTTTGTTATCAGTAAATTAAAACCATACTGAATAGTATTGTTATACACATACATTGTATTCACTTTTACGGGGTTTTTGTTGCACTTCAGTGTTTCTGTTCTTCCGTTGTTGTCCTCCTATAGCTGATGTGTTTTCATCGGTTTTAGGTATGAAACCACCAATTTATAGCCCCATTGCTTTCTATGTTAAATTATGCAACTTCAAGCATTAATGGCTACTTTGTCTTAAGTTCAAACAAAGTGGCAGTTATTTCATGTCAAAACTATACCTTATCCTGACTTGTGCAGAAAAATTCAACATACCTTTAATTTCATATTAGAGTGTACTGGTTCCCGGAAGTTTGATAGTACAAAAACATGTACTTCTGATCTGAACAACAGGGCAAATGTGCTCTCATATTAAAATTTAATTTACTTCTTTATTATTCAAAAGAAACTTTCAACAAGGGTTCTACAGTGATCCCAAGTCCCTTCATTTGATACCAAAACTATCCAGATACGTCACCTATTGACAAAGATACAGCTATGCGTAGGAACTATTTTGTTTTCAATACGTACTACTTTCTTGTAAGTTCTTCCCGACCGGGTCTTAATTAGTGGTTTTTAGTTTGTAATCCGGATTTGTTTTCTCTCAATCGATTTATGACTTTTAAACTGCGGTATACTACTATTGCCTTTATTTACTGCACTACTATCTGTCGATACCTATTTTTTATCATTGCACATTGCCTGTTTTTTGTGACGTCTTTACACTAAATCCATTGGATGATGGACGTGAACTTATCGTCTTAGATACACTATTTCTTTTATAGGTTGTTATTTGCTTTGAGCAAGCTGTCAGTAACTGCTTGTACTCTTAGATCTTTATATTTTGTTGTTGTTGTTAGGAATGTATACATTTTTATTCTGCCACGCCCAGTCTGTGTTTTTGGTAGCTGCTTTTTTGCTTTGTATCGATCTGATGAGTAAATATATTTTCAACTGATTACAATACTAGTAGTTTGTTCTTATTTTGTGCTGTAACAACACTGTCTCAGGTGAGGGTTGAGCGCTCATTAACATGTTTAATACCGCCACATTCTCCATGTGCCTTTCCCAAGTCAGCTCAGGAGTTCAGTAGTTGTTGTTGGGTTATGTCTGTCATTAGATATAAGAAGATGTGGTATGAGTGCCAATGAGACAACACTCCATCTAAGTCACAACATATCAAGTAAACCATTATAAGTCAAAGTCCGGCCTTCAACACGGAGCCTTGGCTCACACAGAACAACAAGATATAAAGAGCCCCAAAATGACTAGTGTAAAACTATTCAAACAGGAAAACCAATCGTCTAATCTATATAAAAAACGAGAAACATTTATGAACCACATCAACAATCGACAACCACTGAACAACAGGTTCCTGACTGTTTTTCGTAAAAAAAAAATTTTTATAAATTAGGCTGTTAGTTTTCTCAATTTAATTGTTGCATATTATGTTATGTCAAGGCCTTTTATAGCCGACTATACGATATGGATGTTTCTCGTTGTTGAAGGCCGTATGGTTGACTATAATTGCTTATGGTTATTTACTATTTGACTCTATATATGAAGCGCATGACCTTGAGAATATATCTGTTAATCGTTAAATTCTCTTGAACTTCCGTGGGCTATGTACCTCATATCACTGCAATATTGTTGTTTGCTTTTCCGGCCTGTACGAGCACAAACCTCTTTGCGAGTAAATGATTCTGTTTAATATATGAATGGGTATATAACCTAACCATTTAGATTACTTGATTTGACTGCAAAAATACTTATCAAGACATACAAGCCAAATTATATGATTGCGATAATAAAAATAAAGTTTCTTTATACTGATCAAAAAAATGTATGGTTACTACATACTTTTGTTTGAAATAAGGAAGATAATTTGCTACTTCCGGTGTAATATGATATATCTATTCACACAGATTCCAAACAAATATGGTATTGATATGCTTTTGCCTGAAAAAGGGCGATAATTTGGAACTTTCGGTTTAGAAAATGTCAATTCCGGTCTCATATGATAGATGTTTTACACTGATTCCAAAAATATATGGTTTCGATATACTTTTGCCTATAATAAAGGAGATAATTAGCTACTTCCATTTTATTCAAGATCATTTCGGTCTTAAATGATAGGTTTATGAATGCTTATGAAAAAAATATATGGTTTCTATAACCTTTACACGAAAGAAGAACAAAATTGGCTACTTCCGGTTAATTTAAGGTCATTTCTGGTTGACATTTTTCAAGGTCATATGTCACTTAACATTTTGCAAAAGACCCCATTGCTTTATTATCAACCAAGTTCACTGAAAATAAGTGACAACATCAGTCACTATCAAGTTTACCGAAGGTCACATCTGGTGCCATAACATAGCTTATTTCACAAGTATTCCAAAAATATATGTTTCCCACATATTTTAGTTTCAAATAAGGGCGGTAATTAGCAAAAAAATATATAGTTTAGAAGTATTATTCCCTTGCAATCGCTTCTTCCAGTCAGCAAAAGGTCACTTTCGGTTGGTATTTTTTTCAAGTTCATGTGTCTCACAACCCCTTGATAAAGACCATGTGGCTTAATCGAGTACAAGAATGAGGTTATAATTCATTAACATTAAATCTACACATTTCAGGGGCAAAATCCCCTAAAAGATATCAACAGATCGATTCGAACTGAATGTATCATTTCTACGTCTCACAAGCTAAGGGCTAAATTTAGAACATGACTCTGGCCTTTCACCTTAACGCCATTTTCTTTTGGTGGAGCAACGACATTAATTCAAATCACCGTAGGTTTCTATCGGTTATAGTTCATGAGTTTCATTTATATATCACTTATGTCAAATACAAAAGGGGAACTCTCATACGAAGTCTCAGTACCGCTTTGGTAAAAATTGACCAAAGAGTCCAGAGGATTTAACGAGCAATTTGGAAAATTAAATTTGTCGATTTCTACTTCGGTTACAAAGAGATGTGCACACAAGAAAAACAATGTTTGAGGCGATATTGTTTACAACGAAAAGTGTTCGGTTAAACAGGGTGCGTTTCATAAGCACAATAACAGTCCGATATCATATGCAAAAAATGTATGCGACATCCTGTGATCCACTATACACCGCAAGAAAAAAAATTGCGGAGAAAGAAAAAAATAATAATCAATACAAAATCAACATGTCTTTCCATGGTAAAGTGGAAAGACCTATAAAAAAGCACTTCCTTATGGGTTTACGTATTATGTTACATTACTTAAACATTCATTATTTTAAAAGATGATAGGTTTCGTTGCTGATATAACACAAACATTTGCTTTTTCACAGCTGAAAAGCATATTTAACTATTAATTGTTAAATTGACGATGTTAACAATAATAATGCATGGCAGTACAGGCTATAAGATATAGTTGTTAAGGAGTATCAATATTTTGCTTTTGTTACATTTTACTTATTTCCCCTTTTTCAATTGATTTTTGAGTTCGTGTTTTTGTGAAAATATTTTTATACTTTTACTGAAGTTAAGAATGAACTGGCCACCCTTCTTTTTACAGTACATGTCCAAAGTCAGAAGCCTGAGGTCTTGTGGTTACCGTCGTCCGCCATAGTTATGTTCCGTTTTTTGTTTTTGATTTCAGGTATTCTCTTTTAAATATTTTCCCATTTTGTCCCATTTGGGACTTTATAGCGTTATGTTGGTCTGATGTTGCCCATTGCTGAAGATTAAACGTAGAAATGTGGTTGTTCACATCCGCATCATTTGGATCATTGGTGGTAATTTCGTCTACATTTAATTGACATTTCTTAACGTTTAGAGATCTCCTCCTTTTTCTATATAAAATTGTACTTGGTATTATGATGTTTAGAAATATAAAAAAAATAAAATTAAAACAAAGAAATGTGAACAGGAAATAATTTTATTAACGTAATGATGTGATAACTTATCTTTATTCAAAAGTATTCTATCAAGTTAAATTTTACATTTAATCCATGTGCGTTTTAGAAATATCGAGCGTATACAATACAAATTAAGCAGCATTGATACATCACTCTATCTGAAATTGATCATGTGTGCCTTTTGATTATAAATTGTAATTCGTCGTGAATTCTCAATTCCAGTTTTTTCAATCATTTGAAAATCAAAGAATTATTGTCTAAGTATCACTTAAAGCTTTTAAAGACGAACGCGAGACCAGGATTATAATAAGAGTTTTTGCTACTTATACGCGTATTTTGTCTACTGAATCCTCCTCAATGGCACCAGAATCAGAATATAGTTGGAAGTCAAAATAAAGTCCGAAATTGAAAAGCCCTAAAACCAAACATTCTGAATATTTGTGTTAAATACGACAGAGACACGATGGTGATTTTCAGTCATTTGAGTTCACGTAAAATACTCGAAAATATTCGTTCGCGAAATGTTTTTCATAAATATTGATAAATGTTTAGTTATATGTAATGCACGACCTGAACTCCCGCTTGGTAAATGCGATAAAATCGCAAAAATAAAACAACAAAAACAGCTGCTGCTACAACAAATATTCAATTACAGTGCGAAGCTAAAAGGCATCAAAAATTTATTTTTTGAAAAGTTGTACCATGACGACTATCTATTCCTAGTGGTAGAAAACCTTAGTGTTTTGATTAATTCAACATTTGGTGGACAATAAATGTACAGATTATGAACATACCAAGTGTATCTTATATACAACATAAGTAACATGAGAAACATATGGTTACATTTATCAACTGTCCAATTGTTTGGTCCATACGACTCTTTCAATTGTCAGATTTTAATTGAAGTGGATTGTGATATGCGATTTAATGTCACACCTGAAAGGTTGTTAAATTCATAAGTTGTATTCTTAGTATAGAAAAAATTGCCTTTTTCGGTGGTCTTAATGTTTCAGTAAGTTGTCCGACTAAAAAAAGGATTTGGTGGAGAAAAAACAAACAATAGCTGACACCTTTCTTTACTTTTGACATGAACATGTAACCGGGTATTCCTTCTCAGATTGCCAATAAGGAGGAGAGAAGATACCACTGGAGTATTCACAATCCAGGAGTCAAATAAAAACGTACCACCATAAAAATCAACCTTCTCCTGTAATCTCAATCAATGAATAACAAGATGAGCATACTAAAATCGTACAAAACAGAAGTTTAAATCAAAAGAACCTTACTTCAATAAACCGGATTAGAGATAATGAGAGCACAACAACAATCAAATAAAATATATCTGTCAAAGACGGCTCATGAATATGGAAAATATGCTTACAGTCATTGTTGATATGAAATTATTAATAAGTCTTCCTATGATCTTATATCGTTTGTGGTACTTTTGGGTATATTTATATTAGTCTAAAACATTATAGAAAGTACAAGAACAAACATTTTCTGGTTAATTTCTGAGTATCGACTTTTTTCATTTATACGAAATGCTTAGGGAACAACGTTTGTTTTAATCTTGAACTAAAAGAAAGCCCATGGTTTAGTATTCGACTTACCTTCAAACGTATTCTATTATTAAATTATGCAGTTTTATATTCCAATTTATATTTCATATTCGAAACGTTTGATTGGCTGACCAATCGTAAGCTTTTAAACTTATTACGTCAATTTTTTTTACAGCATTCAATTATGCATGTAAACTTTTGGTTAAAATACTAGCATCTGTTAAATGACGTTGCAAAAAAGTATCATCTATATTATTATCTACTATGTCTGTTTGTTTTGTTCACACACTGTTGTCAATACAATGGAATTTTATACGACTGTCATACAAGTGAAAGGTTTTAATTAGCTAGCTATTGAACCAGGTGTAATCCACCATTTTCTACTATTTAAATGCCTGTACCAAGTCCATGTCAAAGTCCTGTACCATTCGTTTGATGTGTTTGAGCTTTTGGTTTTGCCATTTGATAAAGGAATTTCCAATTTGAATGTTCCTTGGGGTTCGGTTTTTTTTGTTATTTTACTTGTTTTACAAATAAATTTTTTTTTTAGAAAAATGCCGATTTCTTTTAAACTGTTAGTGAACGTAGTTCTTTTTAATATAACTACATGACCTACATCATACACATGTTCAAATATAAATCAATTATACATGCTACGAATGCGACATCCTATGGAATGCTATATTTATGTTATTGTATAATTCACAGTATAAATATATACAAAGAATAAGTACAAATGTTTATTTTTCATATCAAGAGGTAACCTTTAAATCTTAGGAATTAATCACAAAACAACATATAATATTGGAACATATGTTATAAAGATACTGAGAGAACGAATAACATAACGAACTGCCATAACTAAGGTGAAACGTAATTTTACGAGCAATAAATGTCACCATATTTCATTACTTTAAAAAAAAATATTATCTTGCATATGAAATAAAAGACTATAATAATTCAATAGAGTGGAAAGAAAAAGAAATTATGATTAAATCTAACGGTTCATATTAACGGTCACATGTGACAATGTGTGATATAGATATCCGGTAAAGGCAATAGCTTTGACAGGACATGTAAGTTCTGGAATATGTTTCAACGTAGAGATTAGTTATATGGATAAGGGAACTGCTTATATGATGAAATTTAAAACTTATATTCGGGAATCGGGAAAAAATAAAATCATCTTTTCTGTCGTAATGTCTGCAGATATAGGTAACGTACTAATGAGGTAATGCTGAAGACCTTGTGTCTATAATCTGCTTTATTAAAATTCAATTTAATAAGTAAGTGCGGTCACTAATGTTTAAACATTGAATGTATGGATCTCAAACCTATAATAAACAGCTGAAGTAACATATATCTTTGACATGAAACAAAATCAAAATTTAACGATGAAAAAGAGCCTTAATATGTACGAAACTCCAAAATGCATATTTGCAATAAAGTGTTGCAAAATTGACGAAACGCTCATATACCAAATTGGGGCCTCGGTGACCGAGTGGTCTAAGTAGTTACTACTGTAATCACTAGCCAGTCAACACTGAGGTTGTGAGTTCGAACCCCGCTCGTGCGGGTGCACTCGACTCAAATCTTAAATGACTAGGATTGTCAGTTTTCCTATCGAAGGTCGGTGGTTTTCTCCGGGAACTCCGGCTTCCTCCACCAATAAAAACTGGCCGCCACGAAATAGCCCAAAAGCGGTGCTTAAAAGTGGCGTTAAAACACCAAAAATCGAAATCAAATCATATACCAAATTTATGAAAGCCAAATATGTATATTATATCTTAAGGATGTACTTAAAAAATCTAAAATTTAAAATTGATGCTATTGAGACCATTAGTTAAGGAACAAAATAAGCTAAAAATATTGATAGGTTATGGAGTTTCTTTTCAAGATATTTGATTTTTTTTAAATGGCGGGAAAAATCTAACTCGGATTTTTACCTTGTAGTTGCTTTTGATTTATTTGGGTCTCAAATCGAAAGATAAAGAGATCT